CTTATCTAAGTAGATATCTAATCGGATAAGATGTAGATCATCTAAGCACTATAGATAAGATAGGCGCCATGAAATTCTGTGACACAAGGACAAGTTTGGAGACGCAAGGTATAGGAACCTCGGAAGATTAGTAAAGGAGATATTGCGCAAAAGTGATCACGCGGAGTTGGGCAGAGACAGTGTTATTTGGAATAACACCCTCTGAAGTTCTTATCTGGATATCCATCGGACATCAGTAGTAAACAAAGGATGCTTACTATGAAATTGTAATATCTAAATCCAATCAAACAATGTCGACTTCTACCACACCGATACCACCAGCTGGCCCAGAACCAGATATATCCTGGTATCAATTAAGACCTCAAATTGATGAGGCAATAATAGCAAGATATTATCCGGGAGATAACCATGAAGCAACTAGAAGAGTGTGGAAGGAAATACTTGAAAGTATGACAACTTCTCTTCAGTTAAAAATTCAAAGGGTGTTCAGAGATGTCTTCATGCATTTGGGACATGTCGACCTCAAAGTAGCAGATCAACAAACTGAAATTACTGCGGCCAACAGTCGCCTAGCAGTGGTAGAAGCAGAGAATACACAATTACAAAATGATATAAGCACCTTGCTTGGGCGGTTCAATCAAGAGATATTACAATAACCTGCGACAACGATGTCGCAGGACCAAGAAGAAAGAAGGTTCAGAATTGCGCAACCAGAAAGGTTCGCAAATAACTCAAAGGAACAAACCTTTGAACAACTCGTAGAAAAACTGGCTGTATGGTATGCTGATAGGCCCATGTAGCGCATGGGCTTGCCTCGAGTCGTACTCAACATTTGAAGTGCTCAAAGCTTCTGCCTTCGTGGACAACTGCGATACCTCGACACAAAAACGCCTTCGAGCAAAGCCTGCCCTTTGACATCTTCGAAGTTTTGTGATCTCACAACAATCCGATCGGGATCTTTTAGTGGCAGCTTTATTCCAGGGGCTCGACTTCAAAGACAAAACCCCATCATCTGAAGATTGAGACATACGATACAGGGCCGACGGGTAAACCTTTAAGTCAATGTGCTTGGGTCACGACGCCAAGACTCACAATGGTCAGGCCTCCGAGACTAGCAGGAATAGCGCATTGGATGGGAGTCGGAAACTGATGGAGACATCGGGCAGGAGTAGGAAGGATATTGGCATTGTTCAGCACGGTCAGGGCAGTGGAGGTGGTGACTCGGGAGGTTTGGCAGGATGAGGGATATTTAAGAGCGGTTTTGCATGGTTGTAAGGCAGTACTTGGCCCCTAGTAGTGAGACTCACGCAGAATCACATCCCCCACTCAGCAGAGCTCAGTCCAACTTCAAACTCTTTTGAAGTGTTGCGTCTCCCTACGAACTACGACTACGATCCTCCGAACTACATCTGCAACCTTCGCACTACGCCTACGACCTTTGAACGTTGTCTACAACCTTCAAACTTTGTCCCCTTCCAGTACATCCTCTTCGAGGCACACCTACGTGCACAGCTAAGTACTTTGAAGTTCCATTCTCGTGCCCAACCTTTGAACGAGACCCGTGTGTCTGCGCCTGAATTGCCCTTCGCGTTTGAGTCGTCAAGCTAGTTCCCCTCTACCTTCCCTCCACTTCTACAAGAAGTCAGAGTGTTCGGATGGTCCGAAACAGTATCATGACACTGTCCCGAGAAAATCTAGTGAAATCGTCGCCGTTCAAGCGAGCTATCACAACTACAAGCCCTCACCCCCATCAGCTTCCCTGAGAAACAGAGACTCATCCTTTACTTCGCACCCCCAAGTTAGGGTTAGGTTTCCTGAGTTGCATCAATGCACACCAAAAAGTGACTTCGGACAGAGACTGGATCACAGGTGTACTAGCTTTGTTGGAAGGCCACGCCCACACAGTAGTGGGTAATTATTATCGCATGGTTAAAGATTCCAAAGATCTGGGGACATATGAAGATTTTCTACACCAGATGAGGAGGGCATTTACCACTACAGATCAAGAAGAAGATGCATGTCAGGAATTCCTGGGAATGCTCAGGAAATATGAAACTGTCACAGCAAGAGATACCGCAAAGTTTATTGGTGAATTCAGAGGTTTGGCAGACCTCGTGAAATCAACCGACAGTGAATTGATTGCTGCAATCAGAGATAGATTGCACAAGGAGATCAAAAATGTCTTGGCAGCCAGGGGAAGTTCCCAGTGGCCAAAGAGATGGTCGGAGTAGTGTGACTGTGTACTCGACATTTGTAAAGACATGGGTATTCAGCAGTCGGTTTCATCAATAGGCCCATCATCTTCAAAAGATCCGAATGCCACGGAGGTGGATAATACATCCAAGCAGAAGCAGTCTGGATCCAGACCAACTCAACAGCAAAGGAGCACTCCTGATCCCAGGAAGCAACAGGAGGGCAATACTATGAGTATGGCTGAAGCACAGAAAAAAGGCGTATGCTACATTTGCAGAATAAAAGGACATTGGGGCAGATCGTGCCCTAATAGGAAATCAGGAGACTCTGCAGCTAAACCTGTAGTAGCAAACACGACTTCTACTACTGGGAGTAGTAAAGGGAAATCAACGGATTTCTCTAAACCCCAGTTTAGAAGGTTTTGACAAATTGAATTATCTAGTGACAATGATTCGGACATAGAAATTCAAGTTGTGCGAAAAAAGGGAACTGGCAACCCTGCGAAACCAGCAAAGGCTATTGAAGCAGCAGCCGTTACACCAGAAAATGTACCCCGCCCTTCAAAGAAACACAGGAGGATCAAGATCACAAAGATTGTTGAGCCTTCGCACTCGCCAAGTCCATCAGGTCATATCTCGGAGATAGATTCTGATGAGGATAACGGGCAGGGTTTTGGCAGATGCCTGTTGTAAATACTACCGGACAGTCAGGCATCGAACATTCTTTCCATTGTAATTATGTTATGAGAGATCAGCCAGAAATTTGTAAAATAGCTGATGAACAGTGTATATTTAATTCGTCAAAACAAAAAACAAATTTACTGTGCCTGTGATCATAACCGCAAAAGGAAAGGAAGAGGTAGTAACGAATGCACTAGTTGATAGTGGTGCATTTTCAACATTTATCAACCACCGGTTTGTAGAGGAACATAATCTGTTTGAAGAGGATTTGCCACATCCTTTCACAGTTATAAATGCCGATGGATCTGTAAACCGTGGAGGTCGTATAAAGACAATGGTCATGGCTTTTCTAAAGATTGGAGATCATGAGAGTAAGCATGCATGTCTGGTGATGGACCTTGGATCTAAAGATATGATTATCGGGATGAATTATCTTCAAAAACATAACCCTGAGATCAACTGGGCTGAGGGAACTTGGAAGTTTTCAAGATGCTCAGAGTCATGTGGCTACAAAATGAGAAACAATCATTCTGTAGAGCATGAGGAGATTTATGAACTAGATCTCTAACACAAAGATGAGATGCCTGTAGGGTTTGGAATGACCCATGATTCCGCAGACAACCTTGAGGATCTCAACTATGGTATAAATTGGATACATTATACCAATGAAACCGAGAATACCGTGCAAGCAATTTGTTATGCAATGGATTCTCGTGGAGTTCACAAGACACTCGAAGATTCAGCCATACCTGAACAATACAAACAATTTGCTAAAGTATTTAGCAAAGAAGCTTCTGAGCGTATGCCGACGAGGAAGCCTTACGATCATCAAATTGGAGATCGAAGAGGGCAAAGAGCTCCCTAAACCGTTGAAGGTGTACCATCTTACACCTGTGGAAGACAACAGTCTCCGTGAATGGATTGCCAAACAGTTAGAAAAAGGCT